TTTCTTTCTTTCTTTCTTTCTTTCTTTCTTTCTTTCTTTCTTTCTTTGCTGTCCTGTTCTCACCGTGAAGCTCAAGATGAACTAGAACTTTGAGTTCCCCTAACTCACCCTCCACAGTACTTGGACTATAGCTATGAACCATCACCCTCAGCAATAATCAAAACTTACTGTGGTAGTTTGAATACTAATTTGTAGCACTGCTTGGGGAGACGGTGGAACATTTGGAACATTGAGCCAGGCTAGAGGAAGTATGCCACTAGGGTCAACTGTGACAGTTTGTACCTTCTTCTTATTCCCAGTTTTCTCTCTTTACAAGCTGGTTATGCTTTGACTGATGGTGTGATCTCTCAGCTTTGTTCTCTGTCTGCCTGCTCCCATGCCCCCTCCACTATTATAGACTCTCCCTCTAGAATTGTGAGCCAAAATAAATTCTTTCTTCCATAAGTTGCTTTGGGTCATGCTGTTTTATCATGACAACAAAAAAGTAACTAATACAATTATTGAACATAATACTATAGGCTCAGTGGTACGTGGTTAATATGTATAATATATTGAGAAAATCGATTAATGAAAAATATTTCTCAATTTGGGATTGTGATCAAAGTGTTCAGAGACTAAAGACATAGGTCAGTGGTATGATATGCTCATAGCACGCAAGAGGGCTCGATTCAGTCTCTACTTGTTTGCATTTGAATCCTAGTTTTCCCAGTTAAAGCTGAGTAATCCTGGGCAAGCAATTTGCCCTATAAGTGGCACGCCCTTCACCTATAAAATGACTTAAATCATATGTCTCACAGAATGGCTGTGAGGGTAAAATGTATTAGCCACTGTCAGCACAGATCTGGGACAGTGTAAGTTCTCAGTGCAGTGTAGGCTACAGTGGCACACTACTGTATAGGAAGAATAGGAATCCAAGGCTAACCTGAGTTACATAGAGAGACCCTGCTTTAAAACCAAAAAAAAGGTGGGGGGAGACTGGACATATTTCAGGCATAGAACACTTACCTACCATGTAGACCATCTCTTAAATCCCAACTACCACAAAGCAAAAAAAAAAAAAAATCAATCAATTAAACACCCACTCTGAAGAATAAACAGACACAAACACTTCCATAAAATTAAACAAAATAATCTCTCGACATGTTGAAGAGATCACGTTAAATTGACTAATCATCAATACAAGGCACAGGAGTGGCTGACACACCGAGCATGCTGCGCTGATCTCCTTTCAATAAAGAATTGATGACACAGCTGCTAAAGGTGTACAGAACATCTGCTGTGGCTGAGCCAGTTGTGGATAGGAAGGTCCTCATGTTTCCAACAATGGCATCTGTCACAGCCAGATGGTATCTCCACCCAATTATTCCTGCTCTTTCTTTTCTTGGGTATTACACCTCATCAATCTTTAGTCCCCTTAGTGTTATATGAGAGTCTTATATTTGGGGGAGAAAACAAACCACATGGCCTTTAAAGTCTCCGCACTTCCTCCTATGAAACTGTTCTTTATTCTCATGGTTTCCCCTCGTTCGGTCCTTTCATAATGGCGATGAGGATTAAATTGTGGTGATGACACAGTTGCCTGGCAGAGCAGAGTCTGCTACTTTAAAAGTAGCATGGTCTGCTACTGCTTAAAGATCCGGGGTCCTGGCACCAGAAAAAGCTGTCCTCTACCCTGCTAGCATCTGTCAATGTCTCTTCCCCAGTACCCTGTCTTCTCAGGGTACTGAGTGGTGGTGCTATCCATATCCCTAATGTATGCCCTTACACACACTCCTCTACTTAAACTCTTGGGAGGCTCCTCAGGTAAAAACACTACTGCCAAACTAGGTGACTTGAGTCACCTAGCAATCTTTGTGACTCACAATGTCCAGCAAACTGTCCTGGGACTTTCATACTCAAGCACATGCAAACACATATAAATACATAAATTTAAACTCATTGGTACATGTGGTGGTTTGAATTAAAATGGTTCCCATAGGCTCATATCATATATTTGAATGGTGAGTCATGAGGGAGTGACACACCTTAAAAGGATTAGGAGGTATGACCTTGTTGGGGTAGGTGTACCCTTCCTTGTTGGAAGAAGTGTGCCACTAGCTATGAGCTTCTAGATTTCAGAGTCCAAGACAAGCCCAGTGTCTCTCTTCCTGCTATCTGCTGATCCAGATGTGGAACTCTCGGCTGCTTCTCCAGCACATTTCTGTCTGTGTGCCACCATGCTTCCCACCTTGAGGATAGTATAGACTAAATGGCTGAAACTGTAAGAGAACTCCAGGTAAATGCTTTCGTTTGTAAGAGTTGCCTTGGTTATGGTGTCTCTTCACAGCAAAAGAACACTGACAGAGATTAACAAGCTTAACAAGTTAAGCTTGAGTGGATCTGAATTTTTGTTCTGTTGGTTTTGTTCAATCTGGAGAGAATAGAAGTTTGTTCAGAAAGAATTCAAAAGGAATTTAAGAAACCACTAGGATATAATCCTTGAAAGCTATTGATTTAGGGATTGAAGTCATACTGAATTACTCTGGAGAGCATTTTAACATTATTAATGCCTGGGTTCTAGATCCTGGATTCTGATTTCACTGGTTCTTTATTCCACTGGAAACCTTTGCTATAATGTCAGAAGTTACAATCACAAGTTCTGTGGTTTGTGATGCCTGAACTATGCATGATATCCATGTATACTGTGAGACTTTGTCAAACAGCTTTGCCTAGCAAAAATCAAAGAACAAATTCAAGACATGCTCCCTTGTCAGCTACATCATTACAAGAGAAAACGTATTCTTTGCATATACATCTGTATGAATGCCCCTTGCCTTCTTGGAAAGATGACTTAATAACAGAGATTTAGTTATTGTTTATGTTGGAAATAATAAAAAAATCTTGCAAACCCAAAAAGGACTAGGTTTTGTTGTTGTTGTTGTTGCTGCTGCTGCTGATGCTATTTTGTTTTGTTTTTGAGACAGAGTTTCTCTGTGTAGCTCTGGCTGGTTTGTAAAACCATGAAGTCACAGAGGCCTCTGTTTGTGCTGGGATTAAAGGTCAAGGAAAGGAAATATTTTACATGTATGTGAGATGCATTATACATGTTTTCAAAATGTTTTCAAATATTTCCTAAGGTAAGCAATGAAAAGCATGGTATTGATTTCCTAAATGATAGTTCTTACAACCAAATTCAAAGGCTTGTTTTGATTTTTTTTTTATGTGAATACTTAAATTTGTTCTTGGAATACATAGGACACAAACAATGTATATAGATTTATATACAATTTATAAATTTCCATACTTTATTTACAAGGTTAAATGCAGACAAAAAACAAGGAGGTTCTGTCACAAGAAGCCCTGCCTTAATTAACCGGTGAAAGTAAGGCCTTGTCATTCTGGCTTCATCCACCCGAATGTTGAAGCATGAACTGTCACTCAGGGTGGGACCTGAAGCGCCAACCTATCAGAGGCACTGGGTTGAAGGCTACCCAATCAGACATATGGTTGGTGAGGAAGAGGCGGGCTTTCAGCCCTGCGTACGTTGTTGCTGACCCCGCCATCTTGCGGTCTGTGGCCGCTTTCTTCTCCCAGCTCTGGGTTCTGGATTGTACCTGGTATCTGTCGCCGTGTGACTCGCTGGTGCCTGGACACCCAGCACGAGGGGGGCGCTCGCCGGAGTCCCGAAATGGTGCGTTTACCCGCAGCAGTGTCCCGTCCTGAGCCCCGCCTCGGGGTCGCTTGCGCCCCCGCCCCCTGCACTGTGGCCAGGCTGAGCTGGCTGCTGCAGCTCCCGGGTCTTGTAGCGTCCGCACACGGGATACCCGTAGTGATGCCCGTGACCAGGGCCGCTGGGGATGCCTCCCAGGTGGGGACGCCAGGGCTGCTGTGACTGCCCGAGCGCGGCCCGGAGCTTGTCTGCCGCCTCCAGACCTGGTAGGACTTTGGCCCACGTAAGGGGATGCTGCCTGCTTGGTCTCTGGGACCCCAAGGCCATCAGCCTCCCCAAGGTTTTTCTGCAGCCGCCGCCCCGCCCCCTCTTCATCTTCCATCTCCACGTTGGTTCCTGGCTGCCGTTGTCCCAATCTTGTGATGTGTCTCTCTCTGAACCTCCATGGGAGTCTGTGAGCAAGACCTTCCTCAGCCCCTTCCTCTACTCTTACCAGCCCATCTCAGCGTCTCTCAACACTTTTTCCCCACGAGGCCTGTCCTTCAGGCCCCGGAGTCTCTGAGTAACCTGGAGTAGGTACTTCCCCTCCTCTCAGCTGTTTCCTCCACTCTCCCTCTGTCTTCTGTCTCTGGCTCTCTGTATTTCTAGGGATGGAATCTAGGAATTCATTCATGCCCCAAGCCAGTTAGTTACTTGTCATTTTTTTCCTTTCACGTTTTTCGTATTCTATATTAGGTACACCATAGTGACTTTCATTGCGTTTTATACTTGCATGTAATGTATTTCCTTCACCCTAGCCCCTATTATCCTCCCAGTACTTTTCCTGCTCCCACAGATTCCCTTCCTCTTTTCCATTACTTCCCCTTATTCTTAGATGCCTTTTTTTATGACCCTCACCGTTGTGTATACTACTGTACTACTGAATAAAGAGGCTCTCCTGAGTCCCTCCTCAGACAACCATTAACTGCCTATACATCCTCAAGGAAAAACGGGGCCTTGTGGGCCTCTTCCTATTTTTTACAATTTCATTTCATTTACTTATTTTTATTTATTTACTTAAATGGGGTTTTGTGAGCCGCCTCCTATTTTTTTAGATTTATTTATTTGTGACACGGTTAACTGCAGCACAAGTTGGCTTTGAACTTAACCGTTCTCCTCTCTATGCTGGGAACACAGGCCAGCCTTTCCTGCTATTTGGCAGAAGCCCAGGTACCAGCTGTCCTTCTTCATTCACCTCGATCCATCTGTGCACTTGGGGATGGGGGGGGGCAACTTTGAATGCTTCTCTTCTGGTGGGGTCCTGGCGTACAGGCATAGCTCATGTAGCACAGTATGGTGCTGAGGGAATTAAGGTACAGGTAGCAAAAGAGGACTAGAGTCAGGAGAGGATGTGAGAGACAGCACACAGCAACAACTGCAGACATAAAAGGGAAGGGAACCAGCCAGGTGCTTAGGTTCCTGTACTCTGGAACAAAAGAGGTGGGGTAGAGAGGCAGGCTCTCTAAGTCCGTTTTTGGAATTTGACCATATAGCTCTGGGCTTTTCCTGGGTGATGAAGAAGGAGTGTTAGGAGACTAGGGGTACAGAAAGGGGGCTGTACCCTAAACCTGAGCACTGCACATAGCGGTCTCAGTTCTCTTTATGTGTGCCCCCTTTGTGTCTGCAAATCTGTCACTGCACCCTTTGCCTCCTTCTGTGCCTTGTTGGTGGGATCTGTTTGTTCTTTGTATCTGATCTTTCATATAGGCTCTCACAGCGGGGCCTAGTCTGATCTCAAGCATATGGTGACCTTCCTGCCATAGCCTTGTGGTCCTTGGGGATTTTTTTAACACGAGCCATCATGTCCATCTCCCTGCCTTGTACATCCTCATCTCTCTTGTCTCTGTGTCTTTGATGTGTCTCAGCCTCTGAAAGAGCCCTGCTCTGGAAGGTAATTAGGCTGACTTTGAGCCCACTCAGAATGATTTCATGTGGGATTCCAGGAACAGCCATGCATAAAAGCTTCACCTCTTCCCTCTTTTCTTCTCTAGATGTTCTAGTAAGGTGAGACAGGAGAGAGAGAGAGACCTAGATCTAGGTTCAAATCTCACCTCTAAGTCAAGTGGCCTGCTAGTACAGGCCAGTATATATAGATTGCAAGTTTGAGGACTATAAAGTGAGTTCATGGTGGACTTGGGCAATTTAGTGAAAGCTAACCTTAAAGAAAAAGACACAAACTAGTCCAGTGATTTGTGTGTGTTACATGTGTGATAAGTTCCATTCCCAACCATCTCTCTGTGGGACGGTTCTATAGAATGATATCACCCCTTATTGGTTGTTGTGCAGCCATAAAAAGAGCAGTGTGGGATTGCCATGCAAAGGCCAATGGATGTTTTAGTGCATGCAGATCTTCCATTCTGGGACCCTGAGACCAGAAGAAGGGTGCAATGTGAAGCTGTTCCCACCACAATAATGGGAAGCTGGTTCCATCAGCCTCAAATGGCTGGGAGAGATGGAGTTGGTCCAGCTGCTGAGGATGCCTGAGATGCTAATGGTTCTGAGGGAGGTGGAGAGTCCTTGTGGGAGGAGGTATGTGAATGGAATTCTCAGATTCGTAAATGCAGCAAGTGGGACTGCCAGTGTCCCAGATGCTGCTGACAGCAGGAGCACCTGTTGAACACACACTTCTAAGGTGTGAGAGGACAGTGTCTGGGGACCTGGCGTGACCCAAGTGGAAGGAAAAGAAAGGAAGCAAGGGGGCAACCTGTTCTGCATCTGTCTTTTTCTTGAATATTCTGCTGTTGATGAAATTCCCAGGTTCCACAGCAGACTCAACTGTAGTACCAGGAATGAGGGATGTGGTATATGGATGGCCAACTCTTTCACCTCACCTCACCTCACCTCACCCCTATGGGTAAATTATTTTCCCTGAGCCTTTCAGTTGTGTGGGAGGCAAGCTTGAAAATCCAGAATCCTGTCTAAGACTTCCAACACCCTCCGTGTTTCTGGTAACAAATTCCTAAAATGTCATTTTGCTTGTGTGAATGAATTTATAGGCACCACATGCATGCAGTAGTCTGAAGAAGCCAGAAGAGGGCCTCAGATTCATAGGAGCTGGAGTTGCAGACAGTTCTAGCTGCTGTGTAAGTGCCGGTAGCTAAACTTGAGTCCTCTGCAAAAGCAGTAAGCGTTCCTTAACTACTGACCCATAGTTCCAGCCCCATCGTCATCTCTCTTCTATAGGATTAGAGCTATTTGTTTCATTTGACATATAATTTATTAAAACAGACATGTTTTGTCTTTAATTTTTCTCCATGAGTCCTAGTAGCTGTGAATATTTGAAGAGTTTAATTCTGTTCATGAACATTTAATTCTGTTCGTGAGAGGAGACCTGAGGAGACTTACATGTGTTTCTCTCCTATGTACCCTACAGACAGAAACCTCATCTGGTAACATTGTGTTGAGCTTACCACTAGGAAACAAATTATAGTGTGAAGTACTCTCATCCCAGCATCTGGACATTCTGGTATCAAGTTCTCACAGAAGGGGAGTCTCCGATCACTTGGAGTCTCTAGTGAATACCAGCCCTTGGGTTCTCTTCTAGCCGGCAGTTTCTTGTGTGTGCTCTGTATGTAGAAGGAATGTCCTGGTGTACCCTCGTCTAAGAGACAATTAACCATTAGCATTCTCGGCAGTGAATGTGGATGTGAAACTCTTCTCATTTATGTTTCTCATGCATACATTCTAGCCATTGTGAACGTTGGATCATATGGGAGATCTGTGTTTACATTTTTGCAGAGCTTAAATACTGCTTTGTAAAACGACTGTACCATTTTTACACATCAACACAAGAACACTAGAGTTCCCGTTTATCCATGTCCGTCATCATCTGACACTGTCATTGCTTTGACATCGTCATTCTTGTAGCTTTACTGACCCTTCAGGAAGCATGCTCTCTGATATATCCAACCTCAGGGCGAAACGGCCAAACTTGTTACAATTTAGGCTGTACAAAAGCTTCTAAGAAAACTGCTAACTTCTGGGACTAGACAGTGGTCTGTCTTGCCATCCTTCTCTCTATTATTGCTGGATTTTAAACAGTTGTTTTTCTATGCCTAGTGAGATTTGTGCCAGATTACTTTGTTCATAGGTCTCGGGGGTTTAACATATATTCCCACAAGTAGATCCAATCTAAAGCTGAGGTATTCAGTGAGTGCAGGCAGTTGTATAAAATTATTAATCCCAGTCGGGTTTCTACTCCACCTTGATCATTCAGTTCCCAGATAAAAGGCACACAGCTTTTTATTATTCACAATAAGCCTTAAACATCTCACAAGCTGGGCAGATATCTGTTTATGCTATATGCTATTAGAATCTAGTTTCCTATTGATAAACCCAAGTTATTACTTCCTTTGTATTATCTGGGCTGCTCTTAACTCCAATTGGCCAGCCCTCAGGGCCACATTTTGCATGAACTCACCTAACCCATGGTGGCTTCTCACCTTCTGCTGGCCATGTGCTCATAGTCCAACTCCCCTAATGGCAGCTTCTGTCCCCACCTTCTTCTCCTTCTCCCCTTGGTCTCCCCTCCTCCAACCAGGTCACTCCAAACCCACCCACCTCTCATCCCTCCAGTAATTGGCTTTATCCTGTTTTGTTTAACCAATAGTTTTAAATCAAGGAACAACGTTGGCACAACAAAAGCTTGTAAACTAGAGAAGTCACTCATAGCCCTAGACCTTCTGATATAGACTTTAGCTTTACAATGCATAGCTGTGGACCATATCTCAACAGCAGACTCCTTCTAAACAACTAGTAGTCTTGGAGATGTTTTTTGGTGAGCAGTGAAGGGGCTCTAAACTCCCATTGAGGCTACCAGAGGATACTGTAGTGTTTCCCCAAACCCCTTTGTTATTCTTGAGAGACAGGTAAAACCTCAGCTATCAGTAATAGCAGCAGATGTGTTGGAGACTACCTACAGGGAGAATCATGGCCTTAGAGTTTTAACCTGTTTTCTTTCTTGATCCCAACATCATGAGACCAGAGGAAATACTTGTATTCACATATGAAACCATGATTTTTCTCAGTTTTCTAGAGAGGTGTGTGGGTCCATGTATTCATTATCTTCCCATCCTGTGGATGCCCTCAGGAGCATAGAATTATTCTCCTCTTGTATGGCATATGATCTAAGTTGAGTTGTTGCTCATGTCTAAGCATTTCTGAACTATCAGGGTGGTCGTTTTCTCAATTGGACAGTGTATTGAAGGCAGGCAGTTCATTTATGATTTTAAACAGAAATGATACATAGAAATGCTTTCTACTTAGTGATCCCTTTTTGCCTGAGAAACTTTGTGTGAACTCTAAATTCATAAAATAGGAGTACAAATCAAACATTTATGTTTAATAATCTTAAATTTTAAAATAGTTTCTTGTAATTTTACTAATTGCAAAAGATGTAATGAAGTCTGCATGCAAATGAAATGCATGTGCTTGTTTATGTAACACAACACTTGTCAAATGTATGCTATTTTAATACTGTGAGAATGAAGGATAACGTTGGGAAAGTACTTAAAATCTTTAATTTCCATGATTAAATCATTCTTTTACTAAGAGGGGAATACTGTATGCATAGTAAAAGCATTGAAGTGTAAAGCAGCATTTCAGGCAATCTTCTGGAAATTGCATGATGTGATGGCATGCCCAGTGCCTGTTCCACATGGTGTGTGTTTACAGCACAGGCTGCAGCGCAGTTACCTGATGCAGTGTGCAGGTCTACCCCCAAAGCATGCTGCCAAAATCTTGGATTTATTACATGCCTTTCTGAGTTAAAGTTTTGGTCATGACATATTCGGGAATCTTCTCTGTTGGAAAAATAATTTTGTGACCCTACATTTATGTATGTGATCCCCGTCATCTACTTTTAAGAATAGGGTCTATTCTACTGTAGGAACTGGAATTGAGCTTGTGCCCTGTACCTTCTACACTGCACCACAGTGCTACCCTGCCAGTGCTGCTCATGCCTTTTCAGATTTGATCTTGTTTTTATATGATTGAGTTTACAGAATCTACTTTCTTTAATGCAAACTTTATAAATACATACTCAGCTACAGAGTTTGTTTCTATTGTAATTTCTTGGAGAGCTCTTTAATTTTAATTTCTTCAATCACTACGTTAACACAGAAGAAAGATACTTGTATTGATTTTCAACTGTCTCATGTTACAGGACACAAGTCAAGCCTTAGTTTCTATGTGACACTGGCAAGACACAAACATCCAGGGGAAGTAGACACTTTCCAGTGCTGAAGCCTTGGGTTAACAAGCAGTGTGTTGTTGCAGGGGTTGGTGTCATTTGAGGATGTAGCTGTGGACTTCACTTGGCAGGAATGGCAGGAGCTGGATGCTGCTCAGAGGACCCTCTACAGGGAGGTGATGCTGGAGAACTACAGTAGCCTCGTGTCCTTGGGTGAGTGTCATTCCCTGGCAGCTCTCAGCCATTGCTTTCCTCTTGGTTGAGAACTGTTGGAATTACTGCAAACTTTTAATATAATACTAAGTTGCTCATATTTTAGCTGGCCTTTGTTAATGCTGTACATATATAAAGAACTTATATGTGCCTTGGGAATACACTTAGATGATATGTGATCATCTGATGAAGCCAGTCAGCAAGCCTGCTAGCTTAGACACGACCTGTTTGTGGTAGGAACATCTAAATTCTCCCTGATAGCTACTTTGAATTAATTGTTGTCAAATATATTTCTTATCATACTATAGAATGTAAATTCTGTGTCCCTTGCCTATGTACTTGGAGCAAATACCTACTCCCCAGTCTTTATCTTTGTTCTACTGTCGTAACTGGCATTTTCTCTATTTCTTTGAGGTCACCTTGAACTTGTAAATATAATAAGGGCATGTGGGATTTTGCTTTCTGTGACAGACATAGTTCATTTATTTTATGTCTTTCTTGTGTAGACATCATCTGTGAGAGATCCTCTGTTTACCCCATCCAAGAAAATACCCCTCTTCTACTCTGATGAATCAGAGAACGTATTTGTTGTAGTCAGCTAAAGTGACTCTCAGACAGTGGTAACTCTGAAAATACCACATCTTACTCAGTTTTGCCCTCTACATCACATGTATTTGGTAGAAAGGGTCTGGACTAGAACCTCTCTTGAGGGGTTCATAGCAGTGTTCTAAGGGGATGTTAGAGGTGTCATTATCATGGCTTTGCTCTATTTTTTTTATTTCACTGCCGTATTTGGGTACCAAGCTCTCCTGTGGATTACCAGTTACTAAGCATTAAGATAGTGGTGGTCATTGCAGGCTCTGAAATGGTGGCGTACAGCTTCATCATGTGCTCTCCAGCTGTGTTCTAGGACAGATGTTTCTGTTTGTGTGGTGACGCCCAAGAAAGCATGTTAGGATGTCAGTACCTCCTTCCTTTGCTTCCAGGCTGCAGTAAGGTGAGGAACACAGCTCAGGCACTGCTGCACTTTTGTGCAGATGATTTTGAGCTTGGTGTGATCCCATTTGCTGACTTTGCTTTGATGGCTGTGCTTTTGAGGGAGATCTTAGAAGAAAGATCTTTGTCGGCATATAGTTTTCTAAGGTGAGTTGGCCATGTCACTCTGGTCCTGTAATGAGGGAGAGCATCATTGCAGGGAGCACATTACTACGACATGCTGCTTACTTCACAGCTGCCAGAAAGCAAAGAAACGGGGTTCTGATGTGCTGGCATCCCTTTTTGGGGCATCTCCCCATGACCTCATTTCCTTCCTCTAGACTTCAGCATCAGTCCTCTGAATCCATTTCAAATCCCCAGTATAACACTGAATAGGTATGGTTTTGTGTGGGGCTATCCATTTTCTTCCAGTGGCTTCTGTGTCTCTTTTTGTGGCAGTTTCCTACTGTCTCCTCAGAGTGGGGTTTGAAGATAGAGATCAAGAGCTACATGTTTGTGCTTTTTGATCAAGATGCTTTTCTACTTTCAGGTCTTTGGTGCTTTCATATTATGTTTAAGACATCGTTTGGGACAGTGTTTTTCTGTTTATGTGGAGAAGTACATAGATTTTTACTATGAGGATATTTTTGAATCTGCAAACCCCTTTAAAAGTGTGGGAATTGCTTCCTTCAGTATTACTTCCAATTTGTTAATGTGGAATATGGTGACCTATATTTTGTGTCTTACCCTGGGTATCTCCCCACCCTGTGCTCAAGTCTCTGCAGTGTTCAGCACATCTTCTCCCATTGAGGCCAGACAAAGCAGCCCTGTAGGGGAACAGACTTCACAAATAGGCAGCAGCCTTAGGGATAGTCCTCCTGCTCTAGTTGTTGGGGAACCCTCGTGGAGACTGAGCTGCACATCTGCTCCATACGTGCCAGAGGTCTTGGTCCAGCCCATGTATCCCCTTTGGTTGATGGCTCAGTCTCTGAGAGCTCCCAAGGGTCCAGGTTAGTTGACTCTGTTGGTCTTTTTGTGGAGTTCGTATCCCCTTCAGGGCCTTCAGTCCTTCCCCCAACTCTTCCATAAGATTCCTCAACCTCTGTCCAATGTTTGGCCGTGGGTTTCTGCTGTTTCAGTCAGCTGCTCTGATGATTTCATGCACGTGATCTCTCCTTTTATGTTGTGGATGTTGTATTTTTTTTTTCTGACAACTGAGTTTGATTTTTTTTTCATGAACATGGGATGTGGTGGGTTAATTCTTGGAATGCGGGCATTTTTTTTTTCTTGGCTTTCTGAGCCCCAGTTTCACTGTGTGTCCCAGTTTGCCTTGCACTTGCTTTATAGTGCAAAGTATTTTCAAACTTATAACAGTTCTCCTGTCTCAGCATATTGCATCCTGGGATCTTTCCATCTGGTAAAGGGAAGGATGTGACCCCTTTTAATTTGTCAGTGTTTGGGAACGTCACACTGGTATTAGATTCCTTGGTTAATAAATTAATCAGTAAAGCTGGGGACATATGTAAATTCAACCCCTAGCACCACAAAATTAAATAAACAATAAGTAAATAATAAAGTTATTGAACCTTTTAAGATTCCTTTAATTTTTTAGGTTTTTAATTTCTTTATTAAAAATAGACTTTTAATATACTATATTCTGATTATGATTCCACCTCTCCCAACTCCTCCCAGATTCTCTCCACACCCCCACACAAATCTGCACCCTTTCTTGTTCCCTCTCATTAGAAAACAAACAGGCATCTTAAAAAAAGAGAGAGAGAGAGAAAATATTTATGCAGCTATTTTAAATGGGAATGTAAAATTGAAACTTCTCAGCAGCTTTTTTTTTTTTTGATTGCATGTATCCTATTTAGTTTTTTTTTTTTTTTTGGACTCTGTGGTTTTTCTCTAGTTGTTTTTTGTTTTTCTTTTTTTTTCCTAAGTTCTTTAAGTTTTTCTTTATATAGCTTTCTTTACCCTTCATAGCACAGCTCAAATGGGGCAGTCATGTTCTACCAGTGAAATGGACTTCTTGGGAAAACTTTATATATCATTTTCTATTTACAGGGCACTGCGTGACTAAACCTGAGTTAATCTTAAGGTTGGAGCATGGATTCCAGCCATGGAGCATAGGAGATACTTCAGTCTGGAGTCTCCCAGGTCAGTGACTGTGAACTGGGGAAGGGAAGTCAAAAGGACGACTGCTCATAGAATATTGGTCATCTTGAACTGTCTTCACCAACAGCTATTATGTCTGTCAGCATTTATTTTATACAGTTTCCAAATGAGTTAGTCTGTGTCCTTTGTTGTTGTTGAAGTCTGTTTTCCTAAATTTACTTTAAAAAAAAAAATTGATCTTTGTATAGGTTCTCTCGGACAATTTTGTTGTTGCTTTGAGATGGGGTCTAATATAACCCAAACTGCCCTCAAGTTTGCTGTATAGGCAAAATGGGGCACAAACTCTGCATTTTTCTCTGCCTTCCACTATCAGGATGTATTGCAAGACCCAGCCTTGTTAGTTAGATACTTTGCCTAAATATTTTATCTGAGTTCTTAGTTGTCATTTCTACCTTGTTTTAATATTGAAGATTTCTTACTTCAGTGTTTGGTCTTGATCTGAAAGTTTGATAGTAATAATTAACACTCAAATGCATCTCTTGAAGAGAAAAGGTAAGAGAAAAGCAAAACAGTCATACAGTATACCACAGTGAGATGAGAGACACCAGGAATATTTACCCAGAGAAAGGCAAAGAACCAAATGGAGTTTTATTTTGAGAAAGGCATAAAGACTGTTGAGGAAATACTAATTTATTTTAGTGTAGTGTTGTGATTACTCTTTTTTAAAAGCTTTGAACTAGCTAGGTGGTGGTAGTGGTGGGACAGACCTTTGATGCCAGCACTTTGGAGGCAGAGGGAGAGGCAGAGGGAGAGCTAGACAGATCTCTGAGTTTGAGGCCAGCCTGGTCTACAGAGTGAGTTCCAGGACAGCCAGGGCTACACAGAAAAATGCTTGTGTTAAGAGAAAGACAGACAGACAGGCAGGGAGGGAAGGACAGAGGGAGGGGAAGCATTGTTGAACTAAACACATATGTGGATGTCAATTAAAGATGTGACAATGAAGTTAGAATGGTGTAAGACATTTGGAATTGGTGGCCTAAAAACAATCAAGTGATTTTTTTTTTTTAAATTAGGAAAGAAAGCATTGGAAGTTTAGGGATGGGATTGCAGACAGGTTTTTTCTATGCTACTACATGAATGCTCAATGTCATAGTCACAAACGAGAGACTGTTTTCCAAGAAGAGCAAGAGAGAAAGAACATGTGGCATCAAGACAGGGGTGACAGGACAGTTTGCCCTAGAACAGAGAAGCTCTTGAGAAAAGTGTACACACATCACAACTTCCATCCACAAATCCCAAGTGGTAATCAGCTGAATGCTACAACTAGGTAATGACCATGGTGTGCAAAGTGCTCTGCTGCTGACTGACTGGCATTGTGTGTCACGGGAGAAACCTTGATACTGGCAGGTGTTAATACAGACAAGTAACTTCTCTGATGGTGTCTTGTGTATTTTGGCTTAATAGATTGAAGAACAAACTAATTGCATTTATCCATATGTAGACTATTATACCAGGGGTTATCCACTCTTGGGACGTGTACAGCTAAGATCAGTCAGAAACTCAGGAGGTTGGGGACATACTTGGCAGTTTCTTTGTGGGCACAAGAAGTGGCCATGGAAACTTACATGGTGAGATGCAGCCTTCTCAGAAAAGGAGCACAGAGTGTTAGGTATGGAGTCTCACATTTCTGGTGAGGAGTGTGCCCATTCCTCGTAAGACATGGTCAGAGTGTAAGAAGAGTGGGTCTAGCATCAGCCAGTTACCTGGCTTCTACACCATTTTCCATCTCTGTATATTTACTGTACCTTAGGACTAAAGGATTCGAGTCTAGGGACAAGAATTCATTAGGTTTTCACAGCTATCTTTTAACCAGAACATGTTCACTGTTCATTGGGTTCCAAAGTACCTGAGAAACCCAGAGTCTCCTTACCTTCTTTCTGCTCTATAGTCTACTCTTCCCCTTTTCCTCCCCTTCCACCTCATTTTTTTCCCCGCTTTCCATCCATGAGTTCAGAAATACTGAAGTTTCTGAAGAAATAGTATTACCGTACTGGCTGACACTCTCAAAAGCCTAATTTTTGCTGTCACAAAATGTTCTGCATGTTTAAGTTTTTCCTATAGTTACTTATATTGTTATGTCTCTTTAAAATTTTTTAAATATTATTTCTATGTCTGGTTAGTTCTTTTGTTGTTCTTCTAGCATTTTGTTTTCTCTCTGCGTGGTGTTGGGAGTTGGAGCTACAGGGGAATGCTGCTAGGAGTACCCTTTTTGTAAGATGAAGGATGCTTTCCATCTGCATTCTTCCAAAGTGACATTGAGGGCAAAAAATCCTAATATACATGGCAGCAACCAGGCAAATAGTGATACATATTGGAAAACCTAGAACATTTCCAATAACTAATTCTAATTCTTAGGATTTTGGAAGTAGTAAATCGTATTCAAATAAGTAGGTTCAGCAAACAGGGATAATGACAGAAAATACAAACTTAAATAACTGAAGAAGGAAGCTTAATAAGTAGAGCATTCATTGGAAAGCAGCGTTCACTAGAGTAGAAGAATAGTAGAAAAGAAGAATATGAGGAATGAAGATGGGGTTGAGAAATTACTGTAGGGAGAGAGCCATACAGAAAAAGGAAGAAGAGTCATGACTGCCATGGCTATGGCAAAGAGGTGCAACGTATGACGGGGAAATAAGTAGACTAAAGACACAGACAATGTACTCCATGGACTGTAGCTTAAAATTGCATAAATACATGGAGAAAACAAAAAACCAAAACCAGAAAACACATATCCAGGGACACAGCCATTAAGAAGTACCTCACAGTTGTAGTTAAAATGTAGAGGACAGACTAGAGAAAGACAGCTTACAACATAAGAGGCAAGTGCTTAGTTACTATGAGGACAAGTCCCTTTAGCCTTGTGATCTTTTAACTGAAACCCTGATACTAGAAAGCATAGACTCACGTATTTTCAAGCACTGAAATAAAATAATTGCCAACTAAGTTACCTCTCTCCAGCAGTGTTGCCCTGTAAACTGTAAGTGAAAGAACTAGAGATCTTTCTTCATGAGTGTAAAACACATTGTACTGTGATATTAAGGGGTAACAAAAAAGGTGAATGTAATCAGGATCTGAGTAATGGCTCAAGGGTTAAGTGCTCTTTCAGAGGACCTGGGTTCCAGTCCCAGCACCTGATGCCTTCTTCTTGCCTCTACAGATACTACATGCACATAGAACATAGACAAAGCACCCAAACACAGAAAATAAAAATAAATCAAATCTCAGAAAAAATCAAAACAATGGATGTAATCAAGAGCCTTGGAAAAAATTATATTCCACTAATAGAAACATCAGAATAAAGAAAGTGTTAGACATTATTAACTCAGTAAACTAGCAGACCTTTAAGATGGAGAAGGAAAAATTTAGTAATTATTATTTAACAAGACTAATTATAACTGATTTTTCTAACTCATAGCTGAACACTTGACAACCTGGGTTTAAAGAAAAACACTTCCAGCTGCTGCTTAAATGTGAGTTTACAATACTGGCGAAGACAGACTGAGAAAAAGGAAAACTGTTTTGGAGCAAACAGAATATGGAAGAACTCAACAATAACCATACTTAAATTAGTCAAACCATATTGGATGCCAAAGTAAACCAGGTTTTTGCCCATGAAATACTGGACTAGTGCATTGCATTGTGGTGACCACTAATAAAAGAGAACCTATCCCAATTAATAAAAGTTGATGAAATGGATGATTTTATCAGATGTAAATATCTATGCCAATCAAGCTGATTCATAAAATGGAAAAGAAATATGGTAGCTTTGGAAACTTGCTATATAGTCAGTATTAGATAGCAAGACTAGGTAGGAATATGAGAGTAAAATAAATGTGTAAAAATCTTCAATAAAATATCAGACTACAGAATTCTTTAAAACATTAAAAAAAAAACCCTGTGATAAGTGTCATTTCATACCACAGATGTCAGGTAGTGTAATTAATGGAAAACACTATATGTAGTATTCATGTAATTAGAATTTGGAACACTCACATGCTCATTCTGATAGAATTTGGCATCTCTTCAGAGTTAATAAAAAGGATAACTTTTCAAGTGGCTGAAAAAAGGAACATGCCAACATAATATTGCAATCTAGACAACTTTGAATGCTAAATATAGAAAAGGAGAAAATATTTTTCTGAATTAATAACAATGCATATTGTATTCCCTCTCATTAACTCTTTTTCTTTTTTTTTGAGAACTTCATATTTACACAAATGATTTGGTCAAAGCTTTCTTGTCTTCCCTTTCGTCGAACTTCTTTCAAGTCTCACCATCACTTCTCCCTCCTACATTCATGTGCTGTACCTTTTAAACCCACTGAATCCACTTTGTGCTGCCAGTATGTGTGAGGGCATAGGCCATTTGTGGGGCTTGGGTACCCTCTTGGGGGGCATATCCCTGTAGAAATCTCAGCTTACCATCCATCATCTAGTAGCTATCAGTTACCAGTCGCTTCTTAGTTATTGATAGGACTTTGCCAGTCCTGTCTTTGGCTGTGTTGGGATTTTGGTTAGCTTTTTGTGCAAAGGCTTTATACATACAGTCCTAGCTATTCTGAGGTCATGTTTGCAGTGGTGTTGTCTTGACCTGAAAATACTGTTTAAGAAAATCATCTACCAACTTTACAAATAAAGTAAATGAGACAACCCTCTACCAAGAAATATCATCTTAAAATTTATTAGAGAATACTTAAAGGAGGGAAAACTTTCAAATGTATTTAAAGTGGAAATCCTTTACTTTTAGCATATCTGGTAGAATTTAACAGAATTCATACTGGTGAGAATCTTAACAAATGTAATGCATGTGGAAATATCTTTGACTTTATTTCAGGTCAGTGGAAACATCTAAAACATTTTAGTGGGGAAAGTTTTTCTGTTGGGAAAAATGTGGCATATATTATATCTATGGTGTATTCTTTGCAACATTTGATGCTACACACTAGAGAATTAATACAATTATGAGAAACTTATGAAATCCTTCATGCAATGTTCAAATTTTAGATAATGTCAACTATTTAGGCTTGGTGAAACTCTGAAAATATGACAGTGTAGGATAGTTTTCATTAAACTTTTCCTTGTTCACCCTCAAATATTAAAGATGAAGTCAAGTGTGGAATCCAGAAGAATATAGTATTGTATAAGACTTTCATGGGTAGAAAAATAATGCATTCCAAAGAGAAAATAATTAAGGTGTGTACAATAGCCCTCAAAATATGTAATAAATCTGGCATCATTCTGTTTATTTTATTCAAATGAACAAATTCAGACAAGTTGTACTTAAAAGAGTGTTTTACCAAGTGAGTAACAGAATACATGTTCTTTATCCTATATTATACATACAAATGTGAAATGTATTTTGAGTATCCAGTATTCATAATTCTTATCAAATGCTAGTTTTATGTCTCAGGATAAATACTCACTATATGTCCTTTATGCTCAACAACTCTGTCCCCATTGTCCTGTAAATAAAGCTGAATGATTCAACAACAACAAAAAAAAATCATCTACCACTTCTGTCCTTACAGTCTTTCCTCCTCCTCTTCCAAGATCATCCTTGACCTTTGGGAGGAAGGTGTGTGCTACAGATTCCTCTTTTAGAATTGGGCACTCTGACAAATGAAAAGTGAAAGCTACACTAAAACATATGTATAAAGATAAATACTTAGGGAACTATTTAATACTATTGCTATGTAGAAAAAAAACTGAAGTAGGTTCTGCCTGACAGCCTGTGAACTACCCACCCACAGGTTCTTGACCCAGTTACAAAGCAAGAGTTCTCTCTCATGAAGTGAGCCTTAACTCCAATTAGAGTGGTTACTCCTGTAAATTTCATGCCACTATTGTAAAACTAGGTATATCTTGTTAGGCCAGTTATTATTGTAGTTTTCAGGGTTCACAACTGGCTAAGAATGTTGATAACTGTTTTCTTCTAGTATTGTGATGGCACTTCCCAACACTATAAAAGCTAGCCAGTAAGCATAGAGCTTCCAGATCAGTGTCAACTTGGTTTTCCATGTTCTATAACTGAAGGTTAAGTGTCTTCAGAAATGGGGTCTTATGATCAAGTTCTGGAGGGTAACTAAGAACAATAGCAGTATTTTTTAATGTTGGTGCAGTGGTGGTCTTTGGGATCACACTGTCACCACCTTGAAAATAAGATAACCCCAAAGCACTGAACATTTTGTTCAGTAGACTATGGCATCTGAGGCATTGTATTTCCCCCCATAACTTATCTCCATTCTGTCTGTCTGCCTACCACCTCTCTCTCTCTCCCTCCCTCCCTCCCTCCCTCCTTCCCTCCCTCTCTCCCTCTTTCTCTCTCTCTCTCTTGCTTTTCTTTCTTTCTTTGCTTCTCCCTCCCTCCTTCTTCCTCTCTCTCTCTCTCTCTCTCTCTCTCTCTCTCTGTCTCTCTCTCTCTTGTTCTTCTTTTTTTCTTTCTTTGCTTCTTTCTTTTTTGCCTTTCTTTTAGAACCTTCCAAAGTAGGTTTCCTTGAGGCTTTTAAAGAAAGGCCTTTAGTGTTAGTTATCCTACTTTATGTACCTCTTCCTCTGCCCTCTCACCCCCACCTCACTGAACCCTACCTGCACCATTATTCCCCTTTATTCCTTTATAATCTTTATGTTATAGCCCTCATTCTTTATCTCGCCCCATGGCCTCTTTTTTGTTTGTTTGTTTGTTTGTTTTCCTGACTTCTATAGGTCCTCCTATTTAAGCACACACATCTAAAGATTCAAAACTAGGATCTACATATGAGAGCGAATTTGGGTCATCTTTCAGGTCTGGGTAATCTTTCAAAGAATAATCTATTTCCAGCTTCATTTATTTACTTGCAAAGTTCATAATTTAATTTTTATTTATAATATAATAAAATTTGTATTTTATGTGTGTATATATAATATATATATAATATTTTCATTATCTACTTACTAGATTATGGACATCTATGATCATTTCAATTTCCTAGCTTTAAACAGCAGTGCGTGTGTGTGTTAACCATTACCTACTACAATAAGAAGCTTTTCTGATCAAAGTTTGAGAACAGTGTAAACTGTAGATGGAAACATACATGTTTAGAAGACAATTTGATAGTATGACCATTCGAAAGGCAAAAATAGGTTCTTCCTTAAGGACTTTGACTTCTCAAGCAGTGGGTTTGGATAAATTATGTCCATAATTTTGTACAATTAGTACATACTAAAAGACACCTAAAAATGTGTCCCTGACACATTGTGTGTACAGGCACATACCAGTCTGGAATTGCAATATAATCATTTCTTAGTATTTTTTTATTTTGTTTTGTTTTGTTTTTAAAGATCTATTTTATGTATTTGAGTTCTGGTGTGTCCACACCAGAGGAGGAAGCATTTATTTTTAATAAAATAGTTTATTTTCAAAATACAGCTTTGTCCAAGAGGCAAAGAGGTTTGTAGAACAGAAGGTAGATTACAGGGAACGTCTGATGAAACTGTCCTCTAGTGTGAGAGAAGGGTATACAATGACCAATGGAAGACAGACCCTGCTGTGGCTTTTCAGGGCAAAGGATTTATAATCAATTTATAATAAATGTATAATAATCCTTTTATGATCCTACATTCTTGCTCATAAAACAGAATATGAAGCCTGTGTCATGTGGGTAGCTAGTGAAAGAAAATCTTCCCACCTCACATAATGAGAGAGATGTGATAACAGATGGTGTGTGTACAGTTAAGGTGATAGAGGGCTGGAGCTCAGGTTAACAACACAATTGAAAATTACTGTGCCAAAAACAGTAGCCAAGAAGAAGGTGAATTCCATGTATTCCTCAAGAGTAAAAGCAGTGAAGGAACACAACTTAGCACTGCCTTACCTGTTCATGTAAAATTTCCTTCAGTAAGCTGGAGAATCAAGAAGAAACTTCACAATTATATTTGAACTAAATAAACAATATATTTGATTTATGGATTTTTTTAAAATATTGTTTCAGGTATTCTTGAAGTGTATACTCCAGATGAGAATTGCCTGGAAAATCCAGAGAGTCATATGTGGCCAGTGGGAAGCATCAACAGAAATCTTTCAAATAAAGAGATGATTGAAGTAGGTGAAATGTGAACATAACACAACCTTCACATTTTGATTGTGGACATAAGGAGACTAGCTCACAAATGTTTTCAAAGGAACCTAACCTGTGGCAGGATGTATCTGTAGTAAGCCAAATGGGATGCTGACTAGTGACGAACCTGATAATATAACTGATAAGCCCCTCTGGCACCTTGAGCATCTTATTCTCCCTCACAAGGTTGAAAGTTCACATTATAGTATTCATAATATTTGACTGGGAATATACATCTATACAAAGACAATGTTATTGATTACCTAAAAAGTTTTACATTTGAAAAATCTCTAGTTTCATGGATTGGAAGTCTTTTTTTGTTTGTGTAAAATTAACTGCAAAACATATTTCATATAAGGAAAATATTACATATAGGCAAACTCAGAACAGAACATGATAAATATGGGGCTAAGAGATAGCTGATCTGTTAAGAGCATGAGCTACTCTCTCACATAACAAGAGTTAGGTTCCTAACACACATTGTGCAGCTCTTATCCAGCCTGTAACTCCGGCTCCAGGGTAATAAGACACCTCTGGCCTCTGTGGGCACCTGCTCCTAAATGCACATACTCTTACATGTATGCATAATTTAAAATGGTAGAAAGAAATTAATCTTATTTTAATCTTATTTTAAGTGACAAGTTGCACAGCAGGGAAAATCGTGAGTGTACTTTCTGTAAAACTTTTAGAATGTTATTATCCTCATAGAACATTAGTATGTACATGCTAGAACAAAAAGCCCCATTAATACAAAACCTTGACAGATTCTTTTGTCTCAAGGCAGAAATGAAGGTTGAACTGGAACTTCAACGAGGTACAAAACCCTATGAATGTAAACCATGTATGAGGATGATTAGCCTGCCGTCGCAGCACAACAAGCAGCATGCATTCTATCCAAGTGTGAAGCCGTACGAATGGAAGGAGTGTCAGAAAGCTTTCTGTTACAAGTCAGCACTCACTCAACACCAGCGAACTCGTACAAGATTGAAGATCTATCAATGTACAGAATGCAGGAAAGCTTTCCCCTCCAAATCAGAACTCACTGTGCATCATAGAATTCATACTGGTGAGAAGCCCCATGAATGTGAAGAATGTGGTAAAGCTTTCTATCGTAAGTCAACCCTTACAGTACATCAGAAAACTCATAGAGGAGAGAAACCTTATGAATGTAAAGAGTGTTGGAAAGCTTTCTATTATAAGTCAACCCTTACTGAACATCAGCGAATTCATACCGGCGAGAAGCCTTATGTGTGTAAAGACTGTGGCAAAGCTTTCTTCTACAAGTCAAACTTAACTCGCCATCATAGAACTCATACAGGGGAGAAGCCTTATGAATGTGAAGAGTGCAGGAAAGGTTTTTCCTCCAAGTCAGAGCTCACTTCACATCATAGAACTCATACGGGTGAGAAGCCCTATCAGTGTGAAGAATGTGGTAAAGCTTTTTACTGCAAGTCAACCCTTCGTGTACATCAGAAAATACATACAGGTGAAAAGCCTTATGAGTGTAAGGAATGTCAGAAATCTTTCTATTATAAGTCAACTCTGACTGAACATCAGAGAACTCATACAGGTGAGAAGCCCTATGAATGTAAAGACTGTGGCAAAGCTTTCTTCTACAAGTCACAGTTAACTCGCCATCATAGAATTCATACAGGGGAGAAGCCTTATGAATGTGAAGAGTGCAGGAAAGCTTTCTCCTCCAAGTCAGAGCTCACTGCTCATCATAGAACTCATACCGGTGAGAAGCCCTATGAGTGTAAAGAATGTGGCAAATGTTTCTGTCGCAAGTCACACTTAACTCTTCATCATAGAATTCATACAGGTGAGAAGCCCTATGAATGTAAAGATTGCAGAAAAGCTTTTTTCTGCAAGTCAGGACTTGCCCGACATCTGGGAACTCATACACATGGTACAAATACAAAGAATAGAGAAAAGCATTTTCCTGCAACTCACAGTTCAGTCAATATCAGAAATGATATACAAGTTAGAAACCCTGTGGCTATAAAGAATGAAGAAAAACTCTCTACTACAAATCAGTCCTCAGTCCATATGATGGACTTCTTAGAGTTGAGAAGTCCTATAAATGTGCATAATGCAGGAAAACTTACCTTCTTAACTCATACCTCATTCAATATGAACGAACTCAGGTGAGACACACTAATAACGTAGCGAAGGCTAGAAAGTGTGCAGTCAATCAGGATAATTTGACATCAGAGAATGCCTGTAGAATGATTACAGCAAAGAACTGCTATAAGGGAGACCTCTCTCAACATGAGAAGAACGTTTTATCTGGAAAGAACACAGGAAAGCTCTACCATAGTTATCTCAATGTAAGCAACTTACACATGTAAAGAAGCTTATGAATTAAAAGCCAAAAGTTTTGAATGGTAAGTCAGGTCTCTATTGAAACCTGCAATGAAAAACCCTGAAAATGTATAAAAATCAAAAAACATTTCCCACTGTACACTACGATATATGTACTAATCTTGAAAAATAACCATTCAAGGGACCCTTATAAAGAACATAGGAAAATTTTGATAAGTCAGATCACATTTTGCATCAAAAAAGTCATACAGGTGAGAGACTGTGTACAAATAAATTTGTCATGTGTAGTGGTACTTGCTTATGTTCATTTTCAGTGACACATAGATATTCAAGACTAGGAACATCATACCCTCTCTAACTCTGGGTGAGCCTAGAGTGTTATAAGGGCATGTGTAGAAATGTGATGTAGTTCAGAAATGCTGTTGAGGCATGTTGGAAATGACTGATTCTGTATCTGGTAGGAGGCACTGGCTTATTTTGTAGGACTGCTAAAGTCACTGGTGTTCTGTGTTTTCTGATTCTCACCTCATAAGAGAATATGTAGTAAATCTGATAGTCATTTTAATCTGACAGTCAATGACATAGGGGTCCAGAAATTAACAGTACTTATTTTCTGATCTCAGAGAGTGGTAACATTTATATCAAATTAGTAACACAAGAGAGATCAAGGTACATGGGTTTCATACCACACTTTGCAGATACAGAAGAAAATCTAGACCAGTGCCTAAGATAACAAACCAAGTGAGTATTAGAGCCAGGAACAAATATCCTATCTCAGCTCAGTGTTTCTTGTACTAGTCCTGCACCATTTTATTTGACCAGATTTATATAGTTTGCTGTTAGTGGATGAAGGGAGAACAGTCTTCATTATCATTTTCCAACTCTGGCAGAAGAGAATCAGTGTTGTGAGTGGCTGTCTTTTAAGCGAAGCAACATCCATCTCGGGGAATTCAGCTGTGTCCCTTTGCAGAAGCTCATCCCAACTGGGCTTATTGATGGTTTATACTCTCTTCTCTTGGCATCCAACTGTTCTCTACCAACTAACAGCTCTGCAGACTTCCTGGGAAAAAGATTTAAAGTGCCAAGAAAGACTAGGGAAGGAGCCACATCCTCCATCTATGCTGTTTTGGAAAAAAATCCCATTTCTGCTGAGTAAGGCTTTCCAAATTTGGCCCACTAGGGGTGGTGTACCCATACCCTTGTAAGTAACCCTACCCACCCTCTGTAAGGAAGTCAAATAAAATCATTGGTTTATTTATGAACTTTGGTGGAATCATGGCTCAGTTTGTCATTAGTACCTTAGGTGAAGAAGTAGAGATTGCTTTACATCTTCCCCCCAGGAAGGAATTTATAGCAACAAGGAGTCACCATTAGGATGAACCTTCACTCAAGATGAGGCAGTAGCAGCACAAAGTAAGTATTCCTATGGTAGGTTGGTTCTCTAGGAAGTCAGAGTGATCTTTACCTGTTATCCAAATCCAGCCTTTCTCACCTTTTCCCATGTTATTGATACTCCATTAGAGAGAGAGTAGATAATGCAAGAAGATTTTATGCTCAGAAAATTCTATGCTTAGGTTGAATTGGAATAAGAGGTGCTGATTTGAAGAAGTTTACACAAGATATGTTAAAATGCTGTTTACTTTAATATTTTAAAGAATCTCAGTAATCTACCCTAACTCAGTTTAGTGAGAAAATAAGGGAGAGACAGGTAAGCATATCCTAGAAACAAGTAAATGAGTTTTTCAGTTGAACAACCTTCTGGGCCTTGAATAGGTATAGAGGCTTGTGCATTTGTCATTTCTACTACTGTGATGCCACAGTGTCATTCCTTTACTTGCCACCTTTCTCATTGATCTGGTGCCTCTGGATCTTTGTGAAGGATTATGTGGGTGTAAGTGGTCCTGGAGTCAGAGCTTTGGGACCAGGAGACTGTCCCAGAGCCTTAGGAAGAAGTCTCAAAATCTCAGTACATAAAAAGAGTTCTTCCAGAAGAGTCTCAAATCTGTGATTATGATCTAGGTACATACTGTCTGCTTTTCAGAGTGACATAATTTTGACAACCACCCAACCTTTAAGATGTCTTGATTATTCAGAAGAAGTATGAGGTTTTCACTGACTTATAGTTAGTTTCTAGTATGGATAGGTAAAAGGTAGCAAGTGTTCTTCCGAAGTCTGGGAAAAACTAGTGACTGGTACTCAACTTGCTATGTGAGTCCACATGTTCTCAGCCTGTGTTCAGAGGTTTAGATTAATGACCAGTTCCTGTTTTTCTTCTAGGGCAAAAACCTGGTATATAATGACCAACCTTTTCCACAGTCATCTGACTGTACAAGGTCTTGGAAATAGTGCAAAAGGCAGCTATGATGTAAGGGGGATTTTTATAGACTTTGGCTGCTTGCCCACTAGGGCAATATTTCATATTTTTACAAAAATGCAGATGATGAGCAGCTAGCTATCTTTTATAGTTCAGGGTAGGTGGTCACTACAGCTTACCCTCTTAGCTTATTAAGTTTTCAAAGATACAGAAATTACACATCAGGCTCAAAAGAGGGTTTGTGGATGGGACTAGAAGCATAGACAACTAGTGGAGTGTATGTGTTCTTGTGTGTACACATTCTTTGTAAACTCAAGAGTAAATGGTTTACATCCTTGCCTATATACTAAAGAAGACTAGCAAGAAGTTTGAGAAGATATCATCTACTTGGCATCACTAGTGCCTTGTAACATTCTCATCAAGCACGAAAGAACATAATCCCATGATTAAACAAACATGGAACTGTAAAAGAGACATTTCAAGCAATATTTAAAGAAATAGAACAATCCTTTCATAGGGGTTACCTAAGACCATTGGCAAATAGAGATATTTACATCATGATTCATTATAGTAGCAAAATACCATTATGAAGTAGCAATGGAAATAATTTTCTGGTTGGCTGGTAAGAGCTAATTAGTGTCTGAATTCCATAGGATTAATTAGTAAGACTCAAGGATACAGTAGTTGATGTACAAAATGTTTAGAAGTTCTTTTAAAGTTAGACATTCACTTATCTTATTCAGAGAACCAAAACCTTGATAGTTACTGTTGTAACTAAAAACTGAATCATTAAACAAATATCCGCCCTACTATATGTGGAGATATTACTATATTTTAAATTTTAAATGTGAACCAGGATGTTGGGATAGTTACAGTGGCTGGACTATAATAAGTGAGCATTTATGTATGACACACTCATTGAAGCGATGATGGAAGGTGCTGAGTTAAGTAACATAAGCAGGTTTGTGACTGTGTTCTCCAGATATCAGACTGCACAAACTACTCCAGTTACCAAATATGTTGTTAATCACAGGTATACAAGTTTGCAATTGTCAAGGTACTCTTGTAAAGGAATGCATTATAGATGAGTGATTTTTACAATCTAATTGAAAAATTTGTAAATAAAATGAAAATGCTCTAGCAAACACTGTGCCAGTGTGAACCTATCCCCGTTCCACATTTTAATCATTTTGTGAATGTATTTCCCTGCACTCTCTTTGAACCAATATTGATATATTCCCTTGTGTTATAATCATGCACCTGAATACTTATTTCTGTATTGTATTATTGGTAGGAGAATATCAAATATTTTTACCAACTAATTTTACTAAATGAATAATAATTTATATTTAAATTTTTATTAATAAGTATTCACTTATTCTAACTCTTTATAGATTGGGGTTTTAAAATTTTTTCCAAGTTAAAATTCCTCCATCCCATTCCTACCTCCATTGTACTTCTTGCTCTTCTAAATTCATGGTCTCTTCAATTTTTGTTACAGATGTGTTTGGAGACTATGTCTCTTAAGTGCATTATGTTACTTGTATGTGTGTGATTTTAGGGTATTGGCTAGGTATCGGATAACCAATTGATTGGTATGTTCTTCCCTTGGGAACATTATTTCTCCTGTTCTCAGCATTCCTAAATTATCTGTAGTCCTCTATCTAGAGTTGAGACCTTGTGAGGTTACTGCCTACCCCATGTTAGTATGTCTGTTGATGCTATCCTTTAAAGAGAGATTTTAAATGAGTATTTTGCTTTCACTTTAGTTAATACACTATGTACATGCTTGCTACCTGCAGATTTCAGAAGATGTTGGATTCTTTGGAACTAGGGTTAGTTAGATGGTTGTGGGAAATATGGATGCTGAGACCTGAGCCTAGGTCTTCTACAGAAGCAGCGAGTACTTTTAACTACTGGGCCATCTCTGTAGCCCATGCCACTAGTGTTTTAGTTTATATATACATTGATTTCTCTAATTTCGAAACATATTAAGGATAATTTATGATATTAAACACTTATATATATTCTATACAATGTGGCCATTCAAGTCTCTTGCCAATTTTTTTTCCTGAGCTGTCTAGTTTTTCCTTTTATTTTCAAAGTATTTGAAAGTGACCCAAGTTTTAATCCTATCAATAGAGAGGTACAAGCAGATGCATTTTTGAGTTCAAGTTCATCCTGGTCTACCTAGTCAGTTCTAGAATAGCCAGGACTATATGTAGAGAATAAAATAAAAGTAGTTGATCTATGTTATGTGGTGAGGTTTCTCCTAGTGTGTTATTTCTTCTTGCCCTTGAACTATATAATCTGATGAATAGTCTTTTTTTTAAGTCATTGCATTTTAAAGACTTTTTAAAATCATGGCTTTAGGCAAATTTGAAAGAAAATCATACGCACATTGTACATCTCCCATGCACTTAGTGACAAAGATCCATTCCTTTACCAATGTTTTTTTTTAAGTTTTAATGCTGGTCTAGTGTCATGTGAATAAAATTCTTACACACTTGGAAAAACAGAAAGCTCTGTCACCCAGAGGAGCTAGCACCCAGTAGAGCTGGGCACCTGAGTGAATAGTTCATCCATCACTTAGCATTCAGTCTGTGGAGGATAGAGTTTGAGAAAGGGACTTGGTACACAGCCTTGGCTTTCCTGAAATTCACTGTGTAGAACAGGCTTCCCTTGGCATGCTGCAATCTTCGGCCTCTCAGATGTTGGGATTGTATGCCTCTTCCACCATGCCCAACTGCATTCAATCTTTAAAATTATTAGAGGGTCTCCAGATGCAACTGTGAATATGTAGATGGTTCTACTACCAAGATGAACTGCAAATCAGGGACAGTACATGCAATAACATGGTTATTACAGTTTTGATATTTTCTCTTACAGGTTCTTGTCTGAAGCCTGTTTATATATGTGACAGTGTTGAGGTGCTGAATTAAGTATGACGTCTCTATTGTTCCTTCCCATCACAGATTTTATTCCCCCTCCCTCCTCCCTCCCTCTTTTCATCCTTGGCACTGGTTAGAGAACCACAATCTCTTAAGAACAACAATTTAAGCTCTTAGACTCCAAATTTATTAACTATAGTTCTTGTACATAATTACCAGTTAAAGTATTCCATTATGCTAAAAGAGTTTAACGTCACACACACGATTAATTTATGTTCTTTAAGGAAGCAATTGCTCTTGATTTTTATTAGTTTGAATTGACAACCTCCATGGTGGGAACATAGAGAAGTCTTCCAGATGAGAGATTAGGCGGTGGTGGTGGTGGTGGTGGTGTCTTATTAGTTAAAGGCCTTCTCCACGGTTCCCATGGCGGGGCCGCAAAGACACAAGGAAGTGGTTTCAAAAGGTTTATTGTCATGGTGGAAAGTGGATCTGGCTACTCGCCCCACATACACCTCAGGGCAGAACTGAGTTAAATAGGGAGGGAAGAGGAAGGAGGGTCTGGGAAGGAATGCTTAATTGGCTACACCCTCTGGCCTTTAGGTATCTCGTGAATATAGAGATCTCTGAGGCCTTTAGTCACTCCCTCTACCTGTGCTAGGTGACACAAACCTCTCTTTGGGAGGGGCTATAAGGGCATTGCCCTACGTGACTGAAAGACTCGATCAATGGAGGTCTTTGGCCACATTTCAGGAGCCTAGAGTCTGGGAGTGTGGTGAAATGTATGCCGTCCCTTGCAGGGTCTCTGGCCATCTCTAGCAAGTGTTCCACCAGAAACCAAGCTATCCATTCATGGTCCCACATGCCTACCTTTTTTCAACCAACAAATCTATTTTGTACTTTCCATATATTCACTGATGTGTGGGCTTCCACTGGAGTATGGTTTAGTTACCAAGTGAACCATTCTGAATGAAAACTGACACTCCATTTCCCAGCAAGTATAAATTGCCAGTAGCTCCAGCTTTGAGAGGGACTTTCTGTCTGCCTTCTTTATCCA